AATTTCTTCCATAGTCTGAGAAAGAGTCCTGCTTTTCCAAAGCTAACTCTTTAACTTCATTCATGCAACAGTTACTGAATGTTTAAGATGCACCGGCACACTTGGGAGTAGAGAATGAAAAACACAAAATTGAGTTTAACAATCCTTACTCCTAATTTTAGCCTGTTGGGGAATGACATGTTTCTTTGATCACTTTACTTTTCTACGTCCTCTAAAATATTGCTCAACTAACATTCCCGTATACCTTCTCTACTGGTTCCTTTCTACCTTTCTACCTTTAGAAATGCTGCCCCTCTCCACCCAAAACCAAAACCAAAACCAGCTCACCTGTTGCTGGATTCTGTTTTATCACCTTAAGACCATTCTGTCTCTCCCACCTTTAAACTGCCTCCACTTTCACTCCTTAATGCCATTTATCCCATACTTATTTTATCAGAACTAGCCTCCTGTCAAACTCAATTGATGTCTCTGCAATTCTCCTGGCATTTTTCTTGAAACCTTCAAGCCTTGGCATTCCCAAACTGTAATTACCCCTATTCTACCCTTTTCCACACTCAATGAACAAAGATAAGTGGAGGAAATTTTCTGAATCCTGAAAAATAAACCTATTAGCTTTAGAGCTGAAAGGATGCTACTTGAGTGTGTAGTGAGCCATCCTTGTTTCACAAAGTAGCTGAACTGTCTACACCATGATCACATAACTGGAGGTGAACTGCTGGAATATATGTGTATTCATTTACCCTACACCCCTTGTACCCAACTCCATAAATGTCCTTTTCCTCCATAAAAATCAAGCAATCAAGCTCTCCCAACACCCAGCAACCTAGTGGGACTCTAGTGACAAGGATCTATAATCCAAAGTATCTGCAAGCAAGAGAGAGAACACAGACTTATGGCAGATAACCTAAATCTCAATCCTGGCTCTCACTTCCTAGCTGTGCAGCCTTGGGCAAATAGCTCTAATCTGCCTATTTCTTCACCTGTAAAATGGGGATAATTAGAGCACTTCCCTCAGAGGTTTGTTCTAAGGATTAATAAATTCACATAAAGTATCTGGAAGAGCACTGGCACATGGAAGTACTCAAAAAACATTAGTGTTATCCAACCTTACTTGCCAACTGAAAAGGAGGCATAAAACTCCCAGTAAATTTCAAATCTTCTTAGACATTGGGTAGAGCTTGCAGAAGTCCTGGGCTAGAGATGAATGCCTCCCAGGGAATGAGACGTGACATCTACCCAGTTAGGAAAAGGCAGTCATCTCCCATAGATCCCCTTTACCAACTGCTTTAAGTGGCAAACCTCAGCCACGGATATCCGAAGCCGCCTACAATGTTACCACAAAGTTTGATTCTAGATTAATCTCCCACCAGCTCCCCCCAAATAAACCTTACATCAGACTAATATCCTGTTGCCCGAACACAGCCCTGTCATCTTTCATCTCTGGGCCATCACCTTGGAAATCCTACCCTCCTCTGCTTCAACTACTCCATCTGTTGAAATCCCACATTGCTTCCAAACCTGGCCAGCTCAAATAAATCACTTTGTGTTTCAACATTTATAATGAAACTGAATCCTCACTACCTTCTGTAAATTCTGTAAATACCTTCTCTATTTTTACATACCCCAGTGTTTTATAGCACAGTATCTTGCACACAGAAGATGTTCAATATTGACTAAATTGGATAACCTCACTTCATTATCCCATTCTAACCCTAAGCACCTCTACAATGATTAAAATGTCAAAGGTGTCGATTATTAATTCTGAGCTAGATTCAGTCTTAAGTGAGATCCCTTGCTTTGAACCTAAACAAGCCAACCAGTCTAAAACAAGTTCTGTAACAGAAGACCTCTGAGATTTGGAAAAGACTTTTCTTCATATGTTGGAATGCTAAAATGCTAACTTGATAGACAAAACATTTTAATGATTAGTCACAAGAAAGTTCAAATGTTCCTTAAGTTAAAATTAATCTCTTATCAGTTCTTTATCCTTTGCAGGTTAAGAAGCATCAAATGTATGAGGCTACTCATAGGAAAGATGCCTTTGAAAATTAGGTTATAAATTATATGATTTTAACAATTATATATGTGATTGAGACACATATGAAATACTTTTCAAATTACATCCTTCTCAAGTCCTAAAGAGACTTAAATACTTGGTAATTCTTGAGATAACTGAACCAAAACAAACATTACTAGTTCTATAGTTTTAATCATTTTACCATAATTATTGCCAAGTACTTTCTGATTTCAAATTTTAAAAGTAGCATTAAAAACAACGTGCAATTACAGCAAAGGAAACAACCAACAAAACTAAAAGGCAACCAATAGAATGGGAAAAGATATTTGCAAATGACATATCAGACAAAGGGCTAGTATCCAAAATCTATAAAGAGCTCACCAAACTCCACACCTGAAAAACAAATAACCCAGTGAACAAATGGGCAGAAAACATGAATAGACACTTCTCTAAAGAAGACATCCAGATGGCCAACAGGCACATGAAAAGATGCTCAACGTCGCTCCTCATCAGGGAAATACAAATCAAAACCACACTCAGATATCACCTCACGCCAGTCAGAGTGGCCAAAATGAACAAATCAGGAGACTATAGATGCTGGAGAGGATGTGGAGAAACGGGAACCCTCTTGCACTGTTGGTGGAAACGCAAATTGGTGCAGCCACTCTGGAAAACAGTGTGGAGGTTCCTCAGAAAATTAAAAATAGACCTACCCTATGACCCAGCAATAGCACTGCTAGGAATTTACCCAAGGGATACAGGAGTACTGATGCATAGGGGCACTTGTACCCCAATGTTTATAGCAGCACTCTCAACAATAGCCAAATTATGGAAAGAGCCTAAATGTCCATCAACTAATGAATGGATAAAGAAATTGTGGTTTACACACACAATGGAGTACTACATGGCAATGAGAAAGAACGAAATATGGCCCTTTGTAGCAACGTGGATGGAACTGGAGAGTGTGATGCTAAGTGAAATAAGCCATACAGAGAAAGACAGATACCATATGTTTTCACTCTTATATGGATCCTGAGAAACTTAACAGAAACCCATGGGGGAGGGAAAGGAAAAAAAAAAAAAAAAGGAAATTAGAGTGGGAGAGAGCAAAAGCATAAGAGACTCTTAAAAACTGAGAACAAACTGAGGGTTGATGGGGAGTGGGAAGGAGAGGAGGGTGGGTGATGGGTATTGTGGAGGGCACCTTTTGGGATGAGCACTGGGTGTTGTATGGAAACCAATTTGACAATAAATTTCATATATTGAAAAAAATAATAAAAAAATAAAATAAAATAATGTGCAATTAGATTGGAAGTCAACATCCGTCAGTTGTAGGTGTTAGTCTACATACTAACTTCCTACCTTTTTAAATAAATGTCATGCTTACCTCCAATTTTTTGATTGTTTGGATTTTTTTTTTCAATATTGTATAAGGAGATATAAGCTTTACCATCTAACAAATAGAATATAGTTGACCCTTAAACAACTCAGGGGTTAGATGGTGCCAGTGTGCCCACAGTCAAAAATCTGACTCTAACCTTGGACTACTTAATAGCCTACTGTTGACTAGAAGCTTTACCAGTAACATAAGTAGTCAATTACCACCTATTTTGTATGTTATACATGTAAAGTAAGCTAGAGGAAAAAAAAATGCTATTAAGAAAATCATAAGGAAGAGAAACTACATTTACAGTACCATGCTGCATTTACTGAAAAAAATCTATGTATAAGTGGACGAGTGTAGTTCAAACCCATGTTGTTCAAGAGCCAGCTGTTCATTCTGTTTTCATAAGGCAACAGATTCATATCTTTTAAAATATATTTTATTAAATAATCTACTTGGAGAATAATTACAAAAGCTTTAAACAGTAATTCCAAGTAGTAAAAGGCAATTTCCTTTCAAAAAAAAAAAACAAAAAAACCAGAGTCCATTATTATGTTTTGCTGCTTTATACACAGGAATGATTTATTTTACAAACTAGTCAGATCCAACATTAGCCTGTAAATTTTAAAACATTTCTTAATATGTCTCAAAGGCAAAGTGAACTCTATGATATGCTTTCACATTAACCAGAATGACAAACCATAAGAAAATTAACACCATAACAGTTCAAGATAAAACAAATAGGCACTTTGAAAGTGAAATCAGCTACTATAAATCTCATAGTTCACGTTACTTGTACTTATCGCATTTCATCAAAGGTTATCAACCAGTGAGGCAAATGTTCCTTTGATGCAGAAGCACAAACACATTTAGGTTCCAAACACTGTGTTCTGGTTGTAATACATGCAAGACGGACCCTAACTTAGAAAAATCTTCTGAAAGAAAATGAAGAAAAACAAAAAGCAGCCAGGAATGAAAGCATTTACAAGCACTTGAATAAGGCCTTTAAGTGTTAAATCAGTGTTTTAAACCCCTTCATTCTCAGGTAAGGGATTAAGAGGCCGAGAGAGAGATCGTCTGCGAGGGTGAGGATACTGGAGGTTGGCAGTGTCAGCATCGCAAGAGTGCTCTACCAGAGGAGGAGGAGGAGGAGGAAGGAGCTGGGCATAACTGGACCATCTCGATCCAGCCCGTGGGGAATCCAGAGGGGGAAAGAAATACCTGAAACAATGAAGACAGGAACAAAACACCAAAACAAAACAAAAACAACAGAAAAAAAAAAAAAAAAAGAAAAAAAAAAACAGAAGAAAAAGAGAAAAGTAGTAAATACAAAGAGAACCAAAGAGGAGAAAACACATGCTGGAAAAAAAAGCTTTAGTATATTCATGCCAAAACTAACAGAACATAATCGCAAAAATCAAGACCCTTACTCAAATCAAGCTTGCTTAAGCAAGTATAGAAACTTGAAAGAAAGAAATACAATCTGTTAAACTTAAAATGTTAAAAAAAATTATCAGTATGAATGTTACAAAAAAAGACATTTTATAATTTAAAACATTTTCTAATCTTTCAGAAACATATTTGATGCGATCCTGGAAATTTACAAATCTAATAAGCTTTTTATTTTAAGCAATGCTTCGTTTGTAGTAGCAGCAGGCACATGTTTTGTAGTGCATACAGGACACTGAGAACCAATCCAAATATACTTTCACAAAGTATGGCCAGCTATTGCAATATACTTCTGAAGAAATACAATCTTTGAAAACACTTAGCTGCTTTTCTGCAAAAAACTTTAAATAGTACAAAATTTTGATAAGTAAAAGAGCTCAAAGAATATGTCCTATTGTTATTCTTTTGCCATTTTGTAACTTACCCGTAATACTTAAGCACATTAGCAAACAAAGACTTATAGCTTTGTCATCAAGGTCAAAGTTCTAAAGAATATGAACTAAATGAAGCAGCCAACTAAATTAAAATCCTGAGGCTTGGAATGTGGAGGTTAATGTGCATGCACAATTTCAGCAAATTTTTAACTGCTCCTCTTATAGTATGTTTCCAAATTTTGACTTGAAGGAAAACTTAAAGCCATGGAATTACATCATAAAAAATATACAAGCACATATTAGAAACATTTAGCTCTTTAGTGAATATGAATTGAAAACTTACAAAGATGTTTTCATTTTACTACCATATTATAAATGAAGCAATACCATATGTTTAATTTGGCCACAAACTGTACAGTCAAATTACTTTCATTTCACTACTACTTCTCTCACTCCTTTACTAATATTTTTTAAATATTACAAAGAAATGACAGAGTTGTATTAAATAATATCACGTATAAGCCAATTCTACAAAAGGTAATAAACAGATTAGCACTCAAAACAATCTTTATGAAAAATATTTATTCAATCTTCAAATTAAAATTATAAAAATTCATCATTTTCGCTTACTGTTTTAGAAAACAAAAGAAATAAGCCTGTATTCTCCAAATGGAATAAAGTGGTATTTTCCCTCCTCCCAACTACTTACAAGGATAGTAACAATCCTTTTAATTTTAAACCCATGTTAGTTTCGGGAACATTTCAAAAAATTGTTTTGGTGACAATGTCTCAACAAAAAGCCTCTCCATTTATATTTCAAAAGTTTCAAATAGTGTCAATAAAACTGGCTAGTACAAAAAAAAATGATATACACGGTATTTTTAAAGGCCTTTTGGATTGCGTTTAGTAGTAAGCAGGCTGCTGGTGTATCTTGGGAGAGGTCAAACGGCGCTGGGGAAGGGGAAAAGGAGCTCGCTTTCCATTCCTGTGTGCATGCAACAAGCAGCAAAACAGCAAAGTTACTCCAGTTAGCTGGTACTCAGCTGTGCTTTCTGTTAAAGGACATAATACAAATGGAGAAGGGAAAATGCATCACAGATCTAACACACACGGTTATTGGCACAATAAGAATACAGATCAAAACTTCAAAGCTCTTTACAAAAGAATATACACAGTACAGGCAGCAACCAAAAATCAGATTTTTTTTTTAAATTAACAGTAGTATCCTTTGTTTCATGAAATCATTTTTATAACCTGATCTCTTCTGTGGTAACCTGAAATTGTTTACATGCAAATACTTAAATCTCAAAATCAAACAGGACTTTTTAAATAAAAATTTAACATTATAAAAATAGTTGAAGAAATTTTAAATAGAATTCTAAGATGACAACAGAATAACCACAGGACAGTTTGTTAATAAGGACCATGCTTTGAAGTTTCCTGAATCATATTCCAAATTATTCACAAAGGCATATTAAAATAAGCTGATCTTAAAAATTCACATAGTTGAAATCTGAATATGAAAACAAAGGATGACTCTTCAGATCACATTGTTTGTCAAGATAAACAAGAATCTAAAATAGATTAAAAATTCTAAAAATCAATTTACCATTTTCTCTTACAATCTCCATTAAAGGTTTAAACACACCCACACACACACCCAACACCCACAAAACACATTTAACTCACTCTCATCTACAAAGGCTTAATGTATTTTATTGAAAATTTCAGCCTGACCTAATTCAAAGGCTACACTACTACCACTAACATACTAATGCTCATCTAGGACTAAAATCCTCAGCATTATCCCAGATTTGCTCTTCATCTTACTTGAGAAGCAAAGTAAAATCTTTAAGTTATAAACATTTCTGACGGACCACTAAATTTCAGAATATAATTTAGTTTGTTTAATGGCTTAACAATCTACCTAATAAATATTATGACTATGTAAGCTAAATACAGAGCTAACAAAGTGAATTTTTTCTAGTATTATAATTGTGTATGAATTTCTTTATTCAATCTTAAAATCCATGAAATTACACACCTTAAGTCTGGCTATCAGAATGATTTTAAAAAGGAGATAATTTCTAGTTTTCCCACACAAACAGCCTACCTGCCAGAAGAAGATCCATTTAATGAATTTTGAAGATTTGGGATATTTGAACCTAGGGAAGGATTTGAGTTTCCCTGCTGAGAATTCCCAGTGACAGGGCTCCCATTACCTTTCAAAATACCAGTACACTTCCAATTGTCCATATAATTAGCTGAAAGGAAAATGGTCAAATACATTAACATGGCTAATAGCTTTGTTCAAGGACACAAATCTGTGTTCAAATTCTTAAACTACAATGAAAAAAACAAAAGAGGACTACATATCTCTCAAGATAAATGTTAAAGACATTTTTTAAATGAAATACGTATCTCAATTTTACCAATTATTTTTTAAAGTTTTAGAAAAATTACTAATTTAAAAAACAAAGTTTCTACCATTTCCTTTCCTTATAAGACAAATATTAACAGAGACAATTCTCTAAGCTACCACATTAACTTTAATATCAAAATAAATTGTTCATTTCATGATAATGAATTTCGATTACTTGTATATGTAGGGTTATGGAGCTGTCTTCTTGGTTATGCAAGTGTAAGTCATGTGGGTACTTAATGTCCTCAGAGACGGACCCCTTTGGGGTTTGAGTGGCTAACCCAACATGGCCTAATTCTTCTAATACAAAATAGGTCACTGGAGACCCTTAGCCCAGGAAACCCAAGTTAGGGAGCCTGCTGGAGTGAAGCTGGGTGGTCCTGACTAAAGACCAGGGGCAAGAAAGAGAAGCAAAGCCCTTGACAGCAAATGATACTGAGGAAAGGGAGGTCTGGGCCGGTTCTGCCACAGCCTAAAACTGACCATGGGAGACTCAGCCAAATTGCATTTTGAGAAACAGTAACTACTCAGGGTACATGAGCTAAGCTATAGGTTATATGGGATGCCACTGACTAGAGTGGGACAAGGACCAAGGACACCTCCACCCAGTAGATAAACGTCCATGGAAAAATGTAGACCATGCTACAGCAACCACAGCTAGCATCAAGTTACTAAACTGAATTCTCACTCAGCATGCCATTTACAAGAAACTTTCAGAATCAGTGGCCAGAAGATTCTTGAACTTTCGAGAGGTGCAGAGAAGAAGTGGAGATGATACTGGATTTTCTCCTATTAAGGGCTGGTTAGCTAGAGCAATTATTTAATAAGAGATGTTTATAGCCCTATCCTATGTTTGTAGAGCAGTCACACAAGTTACACACATAGCAAACGGTACCTTTTAGAGATACTGCATATTGTTACAATTACTTTTAGTTTTAAAAGGAGATCCACATGGAAACTTAAAAAACAATTCAAGTGTCATTAACTGCCATGAACTAGGTAAACTGATGGAGGTTCAAAATAACACAAATATAAGACATTAATTTGAAAATAACTGTAGAAAGATCATTTTTTTCCAAAATATTTCCGAGTTTACATGTCTAAATGAAAATTCTTAAGTAGCAACATAGAGCAACAATCCTTTCATTAAAACCTTACCTTTCCATAATCTTACACAGCCATCATCTCCTGAAGATGCTAACACTGTTCCTGTTATATTCCAACTCACTCGCCAGACCTGGGAATTATGATTATCAAACTGAGCCACTATATGGATTTCAAATTTTGTTGGTCCACCAGAGGAGGTAAGTTCTTTCCTATTAATAAAAAGATTTTCCTGAGAAATGCTGAGAAAAGATTTTACACACACGGTTCTAAATAAAAAAAAATACATACACTTACCATATTATTTTATAATTATGTTCATATCTAAAACTACCACGTTCCCTCCCATACTCCCCCACCTTAACTCATTGAGAGCTGGGCCATGTCACTTTCATTTGATTCTCCAGCACCTGGCATGATCCTACCACATAAAAATTATTCAGTGATTATTTCATGGAAGAAAGGAACAACAAAAGAGGCTTTATTCACCCAAACACAGTTGAGGAATAAAATACATAACAATTAATTTTAAAAGGAAAGCAGTAGGAAGGGAAGAAGGGGGGAAGGAAGGAAAAAAGGAACTGAAATTCACAATTCCAAAATTAAAACCTGAATACATTATTCACAAGAATGTCTGAGCTAATTTAATTGTCCGTAAGTTACCTGACACCTCGCATTTGTTCAAACATTTACACAGTACCAATTATATTCAGAGGATCCAATTCATTGTAGTAGCCTAAATAAAATGCAATTAAGAAAACATAAATCTCCTATCTTTATTCAATTCCCCATCCCCAAAACTCATATATTTATAGATAAAATGTTCATTAAAGAATCCATTCTTCAGATCACAGTTGCCTCTTCATTCTCTTCCACAAATGAAAATAATCATGAGTTAAGAGCATTTTTAAATTAGTAATTGCTTCAAAACCTCACCTCACAGGCTTTAATGTAAAAATTCTCACATCTTTGGTTGCTATGGCTAGAATGTGGAAAGACCTTCCCAAGTTTGGAGCAAAGGCAATATCATGGACAGGATCTGTGACTGTCATGAGGGTTTCAGCTTTTGCATATTTCCTAATAAAAAAACAATTTATGTTAAAATTTTCAGAAATTGAAATTTTTAAAAATCCACATGTTTTTTACATTGTTCACAATGAAACAGAGTTTACCTCTGCAGTATATATATATAGTATGACCAAGGCCTAACCCCCAGAAACTGAATGTGACCTAATTTAGAAAAAGGGTCTTTGTGTATATAACTAAGGATCTCAGGACAAGATCATCCTGGACCATCCTTATAAAGGACAGAAAAGGAGATACAGAGAAGAAAGCCACGTGAAAACAGGGAGAGATTGGAATTATGCAGCCAGACACCAAGGACCTCCCAAAGCCACCAGAAGCCTTAAGAGACAAGGAAGAATTGTGGAAGCAGCATGGTGCTGACCACACCTTGACTTTAGATTTCTGGCCTCCAGAACTTTGAGAATAAATTGTTTTGTTTGTAGTGATTTGTTATGGCAGCCCTGGAAAATTAATATAAAGCCCCCAGGTTTTGTTTTTTGATTTTGTAAGTTTAGCTTAGAACAGTTTAACAAAACTTTAAATAGAATGAGATGCCGGGGCACCTGGGTGGCTCAGTCAGTTAAGTTGCTGAATCTTTAATCTCAGCTCAGGTCATGATCTCCCAGTTCGTGAGACTGAGCCCCACACTGGGCTCTGCACTGATAATGAGGAGCCTGCTTAGGATTATTTCTCCTCTCTCTCTGCCCTCCCCTGCTTGCCCACGTTCTCTCTCTCTCAAAATAAATAAATTAAAAAAAAAAAAAGAATGAGATGCTGATTTATTAACCATTAATATCTATTTTCAAGAAAAGGGTAATTGAATGTCCTAAGTATTTGAGTATAAATTGGAAAATGAATTTGATAACAGGAGGAACTGAGTTCTTTTAGTGGTAATAAAGGGCACTATACTGAAATCTGTTTCATCCTTACAATTCTATTTCTACATGTGCAAACGGAGAAGATAATGAAGGAGACAACAGATAAGAATTTTAAATTATGTTTTTCTCCATTGTAAGTTCAATATCAGAGACAGAAATGAAGCACATAACCCTGTATGTAACAGAGGGAGTTAGAGAGAGGTACCCCTCTTACCTTTTCACTACCCTCCTCTAATATACTGGTGTTCCCAACAAATCTATGCTTGGCCTTCTTTTCATGCCAACATTTCCCCAAATGTCTCCAAGCTAGCACATGCCTCAAGGCTCCTTGACCTCGTCTTCCCCTACATGATCATCCTGAGTAATCTAATCCACACCCTTGCTGCTTCTACTGTCTGGTCATAACTCCTGTGTTGGATCCTAGACAAGTCATTTTACTTTGTTGATCTGTTTCTTCATTCGTGAAAATGGTAATAATATAAAAGCTACCTACCCTCCTCATAAGGTGATTTAGAATTCAAATTTCATAATGTATGTGAAAATGCCATATAACCTGTATAAATATAGGCACTTGTACTATTATCTAGACTAGGTCTGTCTTAATATTTTCATTCACCAATAGAAATAAATATATCCAATACTGGTAAATTCGACAAATGTTTTCTATTTGTTACTACTATTACTATTACTACTACTATTACTTACAGAAAGCTCAGTTAGGTATTCATAATTGGATGCTACATACTCCACTATCACATAGCCTCTACGTAACATGTTCAATCTGTATAACAACCTTTGAACAACTCTTACTTCAAAGAAACAGACAAGGACCATCCCCAAAATGGCTGATCTTAAAAGGTCTGGTAACTTCCTAAGTCAATCCCACATACACTCACACACAGACACAGTTACCTTCCCAATGCCACTTCCTGGCCATTCTAGATGCAGAAAATGCCTGGCACTTGCTGTCTACTCCCTTGCAGCTAAAGCACAGTAAGTGACCCAATTCTGGTCAGTGGGACCCAATGAAAAAGCTTGCTAAGGTGCTTCGAGAAAACTTTTTCTTCTCTCCCTCATACAAAAAGATACATAAAAGCCAATGCCCTTCTTTGTATCTGCATGTGAAACCTGGAAATGCTCTTGTGATCCTAAGAGGGAGCTGTCACCAACACACTAAGGATGACTAAGGAAAATACCAAAAACTCTGATGTCATCACTGCACCAAGTGAGCCATTTAACCCCAGAACTGTTCCACTGCCAGGCTCCCTTGTTACAGGGAATCCAGCCCCTAATCTAGATTTATTCTGCTAAGAGACTTATACACAACTTTGGATTATCTTTATCACTGAATTCTTTTAAGTTTTAGGTACTTTCTATCTGCCCTGTATATTCTTTCAGAATTAACTTGCAAGTTATTTATCCCTTTACTCAAATATTATTTATGAAGTAGTTTCATTCTCCTACGTTTTAGAAATGGTCCCACATTCAAAGTTTTAGATTTATGCCTCCAAATTCATTCTGTTCAGCTAAGGTTGAAAGAAATTACTTTAACAGTATTAACTCTTCATAAAGCCTCTTTAAGAAGTGCTAGTGATCCCGTTCATGCTCTGTCTCTCTCCCCAAAATAAATAAACGTTGAAAAAAAAAAATTAAAAAAAAAAAAAAGGGGGGCGCCTGGGTGGCGCAGTCGGTTGAGCGTCCGACTTCAGCCAGGTCATGATCTCGCGGTCCGTGAGTTCGAGCCCCGCGTCGGGCTCTGGGCTGATGGCTCGGAGCCTGGAGCCTGTTTCCGATTCTGTGTCTCCCTCTCTCTCTGCCCCTCCCCTGTTCATGCTCTGTCTCTCTCTGTCCCCAAAATAAATAAACGTTGAAAAAAAAAATTTTTTTTTTAAAAAAAAAAGAAGTGCTAGTGATGTGGTTCATAGCTTTAATAGCTTAAAAGGCTATGAAAGCCTCAAAAAGTTCTAAATTTTTTTTTTCAACGTTTATTTATTTTTGGGACAGAGAGAGACAGAGCATGAACAGGGGAGGGGCAGAGAGAGAGGGAGACACAGAATCGGAAACAGGCTCTAGGCTCTGAGCCATCAGCCCAGAGCCCGACGCGGGGCTCGAACTCACAGACCGCGAGATCGTGACCTGGCTGAAGTTGGACGCTTAACCGACTGCGCCACCCAGGCGCCCCAAGCCTCAAAAAGTTCTAAAGGAAGGTTCCTATATTCTAGAACTGTGCTGGCCAATACTCCAGTCACTAGCCACATGTGCCTATTTAAATTTAAATTAATAAAAATGAACAAATGCAGTTCTTCAGCTATAGTAGTCACATTTAAGCTTCAACAGTGGCATGTGGCTGGTGGCCACTGCATTAGCTAGCACAAGTACGGGGCATTTGCATCAGTGCAGCAAGTTCTACTGGACAGCACTGTTGTAAACAGTCTCTCTGAAGAAATCAAGAATCTGGGAAGTAGAGGGCTGGAGTAAGAACCCCTCAAAACTCCTAGTAACATTCTGAAATGCAGAGCCCACAGGAATTAAAATATACTGGTCCCCCTACTAGCCACAGTCTCACTTTCCACGGTTTGTTACCCACGATCAAATTTACATCCAGAAGATGATGCCCCTGATTTACCGTCAGAAGGTCAGCATGCCTACATCACTCACATAGGCATTTTATCTCATCTCATCACATATGCATTTTATCGTCTCTCATGGTCACAGGAAGTGAATACAGCACAAAAAGATATTTTAAAAGAGAGGCTGCAATCACATAACTTTTATTACAGTGTATTGTTATAATTCTTCTATCACTAGCTATTGTTAATCTAATACTCTAACTTATAAACTTTATCGTAAGTATGTATGTATAGAAAAAAAACACAGATGACACAGAATTTGGTACTATTAGAGGTTTTAGGCAGCTACTAGGGGTCTTAGAACGTATCCCCTATGGATAAGGGGGACAACTGTAGTTCTTTCTTCTCCTCCACTTCTGGCCCTACCCAGCATCTGACTCCTAGACCCATGTGCTTGTTACCTAGCACATGTGAAGCCTACCTGATCAACTGATGGGTGCTCTTTTCTCTTACAAGATCTGAGAACACCTCTGACACACAGCTTACAGCTCTCAGAAGTACTGCAGGTATCTCAACATGACCCAAAATAGACTTTACTTCACATGCTGCTATACTCTACCCAAATGTGTCCTGTTTCCAGATGTCCTTATTTTAAGAAATTACATACCACCCATTGAATTATTAACCAGAACCTTGAAAATCATCTCAACAGATCCCCCTTTCTTCACCTTCTAAATCTAGTCATCAGATTCTATTGATACTATTTCTTAAATTATTCTCACTGTCCACTTCTCTCCATCCCCATTTGTTACTACTCTATGCCAAAGCCACTATAATCTCCCACCTGGACTGTTATAACAGCACCCAATCACTGAATCCACTCATGTTGCCCTCTAAAATACTTTTCACACCTATGGAAGAGTTTAACTACCATCCAACCCTATTATTCCCCAACTTAAAACTCTTTCAATGGCTTCATATCACCCATAAAATCTAAACACAAAACACTAGGTCGTGCAGATATAAGCCTTGCATATTTCTCACACACTCCCTTTTGCCTATTACATTTCAACTACAATAAAAATATACTGGTTTTCTCTTGTTCATGTACCTTATCACATGTAGTTTTCTCCATTTGGAATGTTTTCCCCTCTTTAACACTTTACTTTTCCTCATCCTGTAAGTCTTGTCTGGAGTGAACCTTCCTGGCCCCCTCTCCAAGGTGTAGTAAGCCCTTAACATCCTGATTCTCCCAGTTGATAAAATTCATCACCATTTTTTACTATTTTTGTTTGTTTTCTCTGCAAGATGGTACATATTATTAAATCAGTCACCTTTTCCTCTATACCATTCAATTTTATATTATGGTAGCCTGACACACAACTTGGCATAGCCTAGGAAATTAGTAAATATGTAATGAATGATGCATAATTCAGTGAATGCAGAAATAACATTTTAAAAAATCAAATGCAATTAAGAACAATAATTAAGACCAAATAGTACTAACCTGGTGTTTTCATTATATTCAAAAATCTGAACCTTGGCCATTGCATTTGGACTACTGTCATCACTTCCTACAGCTATCATGGGAGAATGAGCACGAGAGCTAGAAATGAAGAGTAAAAACTATTTTACATAAGTTAATATACATCTAATTCAAAGAATTAGAAAAATCGGGCATCAAGTAGCTCTACAACCCACATGTAAGTATGCCACTACTGTGACTAGATCCCCACCATGTATCTGACACAGTCACACCTTGGGAGGGTGTGTCCTTGAGAATGCTCAAGGTGGGGACAGATATCTTGCCCCTCTTGCTGACAGAAAAGTAGCTCTTTTCCCAAAAGAAAAGGTTTCAAGCATTCAGTAGATTAAAAAAAAAAAAAAAAGCCAAAAAAACAAACAAAAAATTTTTTTAAAAAAGGCGACAGCCAAGAGGTCTTAGAATTTTTCTTCCTGAAAGATTTGGTCATTCACTATGGAATAAAAAGCAACCCTACAGTGACCAATTCATGACAAAAAGATTTTAAGTGCTTTGTACAAAAAGAAGAAACCCTGGGGACTCCTAGATGGCTCAGTAGGCTCAAGTCATGACAGCAAGGTTTGTGGGATAGAGCCCCGCACAGGCCCTTTCCCTCAAAATAAATAAACTTAAAAATAAATAAATAAGAAATCCTGATAAAAGGAGAAAAAGTAGAAAAAGACCACACCTCAAGAAAGCATGCTACCCACAATGTCATTCTCTTCTCTAGATTCATTTTTAAAAAGGCAAGAGAAGTAATAAGATAATGAACTCTACTGAAATAAACTCTAGGTTACATTATTTTCTTCATTTCTATACCTAATTACCTCAATATTGATTACCTTTGCCTCCCTCACCCAAATTAAGTAATATCTCTGTGAACATTACCCCTTGTTTAACATCTGACCTTGACACTGTCATCTGCCAACTTCATAAAGGTGAAAACAGAATGTGGCAACTAAAAAAAAAGTAGATTGATCACCTACATCTCCTTCACCTCCCTCCTAAGATTCCATGGAAATGATGAAAGAATAACACCATCATAATAGTCCTAGATATCAATGTGCCATCAGAAATCAAGAAATTTAAAGGAATTCCAGAAAGACAGGAAGCAGAAAGAAAGAAGACATGCAAGGGGGACAAGAAAAGAGCTCTATCAGTATCAGTAAGGAAGAAATTCCACAAACTCCAGCCTCCTCAATACATGCAAAGAACAGGAATGAGTAAGGGGACAATCATGAAATGATTCATTAAAAGAACTGCAATCAGAAGACCTCTTAGCTGGCAGCTAACTGGGCTCTAGCTAAAGAGAGTCTGAGGAAGGATAAGTGAGATGATCAAAACTTAACAGGAAAGAGACCCTGAAATAAAACAGCACTCCAAAACTGGCAGGGAGAGGAACAGAAGGAACAAAACACATTAAGGTGCTCCATCCCAAAAGTCAAGTCCTCCTGACTTTGGCAATTTGGGGTACCCCAGCCTATTTTCCTCAGTTCCCTTGGTCTATACTCCCTACAAGGAAATCCTGCCAACACACTCCACCTAAGATGAAACTCAGTCAACCCCTAGGTAAGAGAGTAAGCTACTAAGAAAACAGAGCACCTAGCAGAAGAAAAATACCAATACCTGTTTTCTCTACTAGGCATAATAGTCTCTTGTTCATAACTACAAATAGATAAGCAAAGACTAACACACAAGGAAAACAAAAAGCATGAAAATAAAGACCACGATATACAAATGGATCTTTGAGAAAGTAGATATAGCTGATCCTCATAATTTGCAGGTTCTTTATTTATAAACTGGCCTACTTACTAAAATTTGTTTGTAACCCCCCCCCACCCAAATTCAATATTTGGGACTTTCGTGGTCACCCATGAACATGCCTGGAGCAGCTCTGCAAAAAATTTGAGTCATTTGACCCACGCAGTCAATACTGAGATCGAACAAGGTAAGGTTCTGCCTCCTTATTTCAGCTCTCATGCTGAAAACAAGTGTTGCCTTCTATTCACCACCATTATTTTCATATTTTTGTGCTTTGTGTTGGTGATTTTACTACTTAAAATGGCCCCCATGGGTAGTACTGAAGTGCAGTCTAGTTTCTATGCTTAGCAAGAAGACTATACAATGTGCCTCATGGACAAAATACTGTGTTAGATAAGCTTTGTTAAGGCCTGAGTTTTAATGCTGTTGGCGGACTTCAATGTTAACGAACCAGCAACATATGCTTAAAAAGGTATCTTTAAACACAAACACTCATAAAACAAGGTTAAGTATTTATCACTTGACAAAAATGTGATCAAAGGCTCATGGGAAACCAATCCTATATCTCTCAAAGGAGTGACACACTTGTCCCCTTAACTGCCTCCATTTGGACCTCAGTCTGTACTTTCTGATTTTTTTTTCCAACTTATCTCTTAACTCAGGCAAAAGACCCAGCGTGAAAAACATCGTATAATGAGAACCAAAACTATCCCCTCAGGCAGTAACAGCTGCCCTGCTGCAGCAAGACCAAAGTGAATGACCTCAACACAGTGACTAACCTGACCTTTACTGCACAGCTAAACATACCCAATGACCTTTATCCCATATTTTCTTTATATAAACCTGAAGTATTTTCAGCATTTTGGAGACAGCCTTTGTGACACTAGTCCACTGTCTTCCCGGTGTGGGCCTCACTAATATAAATTACTCTGTTGTTCCATCACCACTCATTTCTCTGCCTCTGGATTTACTAGCAGCCAGTGGCTAAACCTGTTCCATTTGAGAACCCTAAATTTATTATTATTTATAATGAAATAAAATTTAGAACTTCCTACCGGCAAAAGTCATCACAGTGTCAAAATGACAAACCACAAACTAGAATACACATGCAACAGTGCTCTGGTTACAGGAGCAACGGTTCGGTTCATTCAGTGTTCACTGAGCTTTATAGAACATAACTATTGCAAATATGGAGACCTACTGTAATTCAAGAAAGAAACACAAATTTAAAAAAATTTTAATTACAACCCGCAAAGAATATCATATCCATGTAACAAAAACTGACTGGATACCCAGGGAACTAGCAGGAGATCTTGATGACAGAGTAGTAAATCTCCAAACCATTTTAAAGAAATGGGAGAGTAAATCCAAGAATATTCAAAGATGAGTTCCGTAAAGGCAGAACAGAGACAACATAAGAAAATTATCAAAGAATCATAGGAAATTTTTTAAAAATCATAAGAAATTTCCAATTCGACAAGAATCTTCATTTTGAAAGGCACCACTAAATGTCAAGCAGGATGAATCAAAAAAGACCAACACCTAATAGTATATGTCTGGGTTTACTTCAAAATAATCCAGTTTTTTATCGGGGGAAGAGGGACAGTGGGAAGTCATATACAGATGAAAAAAAGACTAGCGGGGTGCCTGGGTGGCTCAGTCGGTTGGGCGGCCGACTTCGGCTCAGGTCATGATCTTGCGGTCCGTGAGTTCGAGCCCCGCGTCAGGTTCTGTGCTGACAGCTCAGAGCCTGGAGCCTGTTTCAGATTCTGTGTCTCCCTCTCGCTGACCCTCCCCTGTTCATGCTCTGTCTCTCTCTGTCTCAAAAATAAATAAAACGTTAAAAAAAAAAATTAAAAAAAAAAAGAAAAGAAAAAAAGACTAGCTTTTGAGTTATTGCAGCTGGGTGATGAATACGTGAAGGGTCTGCCCATTGTATTATCATTTTTGGTAGATATGAAAATTTGCCTAATAAAAACTGTAAAAATAATACCTAGAAACATCCTGGATACATTTTAGAATTCTGCTACCTCAAATCACACAAAGCAATTCCAGAAGGTATAATGACCTAAATGTGAAAAGCAAAACCAAAATCCATTCAGAATACACTTGAAAACCTTAAGGTGGTGACAAATCCCTCAAGTAAAATACAAAAAGCACTAGAAGAATAAAGGAAAGACTGATACACGTGGTTACATTAAAACTCAGAATTCTCTAGGGACTTCTGGGTGGCTCAGTCAGTTAAATGTTCAACTCCTGATGTCAGCTCAAGTCATGATCTCATGGTTGTTGAGACAAAGCACTGCATCAGGCTACATGCTGAGTGCAGAGCCTGATTAAGATTCTCTTTCTCTCCCTCTGCTCCTCTCTCCCATTCACGCTCTCTCTCAAAAGAAAGAAGCCTCAAAAATTTATAATAATACAATAAAATTCAGAACTTCCTACCGTCAAAAGTCATCACAGTGTCAAAATGACAAACCACAAACTAGGAGAATACACATGCAACAAAGCTCAAAGTAGTTAAGGCAAAAATCCTGAAAACTTCCAGAAAGAACAGGCTACCTACAAAAGAACCAGCATTAGACTGACCTCAGACTTCTCATTCACACTTAAATTAAAAAGATTCTCAAGGACACGATCTTCGAAATTCTTACATTTTGAACTTAGAACTCTAAAGCTAGCCAAACTACAATTAACCATGGGGTAAAATTAAGATGTTTTCTGGTATGTCAGAATTCAAAGAAGTTTGCCATCCATCCGTATGAAAAAAAATATACTTTAAGAGATGTGTCAGTCACCAAAATAAAAAAACAAAAAATCTAAAGACAACATGTGATATGAAAATTGTGACAGCCAAGTATAACCCAGAAGACTCAAGAAAGAAAACAGAGCATCCATCAGAAGTTAACACCACAAGCTGCTGCAGCCACTCTGGAAAACAGTATGGAGGTTCCTCAAAAAACTAAAAATAGAACTACCCTACAACCCAGCAATTGCACTACTAGGCATTTATCCACAGGACACAGGGGAGCTGTTTCGAAGGGACATATGCACCCCCATGTTTATAGCAGCACTATCAACAATAGCCAAAGTATGGAAAGAGCCCAAATGTCCATCGATGGATGCATGGATAAAGAAGATGTGGGATATATATACAATGGAGTATTACTCGGCAATCAAAACGAATGAAATCTTACCATTTGCAACTACGCAGATGGAACTGGAGGGTATTATGCTAAGTGAAATTAGTCAGAGAAAGACAAAACTCATATGACTTCACTCATATGAGGACGTTAAGAGACAAAACAGATGAACATAAGGAAAGGGAAACAAAAATAATATAAAAACAGGGAGGGGGACAAAACAGGGAAGACTCATAAATATGGAGAACAAACTGAGGGTTACTGGAGGGTTTGTGGAAGGGGGGATGGGCTAAATGGGTAAGGGGCACTTAAGGAATCTACTCCTGAAATCACTGTTGCACTATATGCTAATTTGGATGTAAATTTTTAAAAATAAAAAGTAAAATCAGAAAAAAAAAAAACAAAAGTTAACACCAGATATTCTGCATGAACAATAATTTTCAAGAAAAAGATTAGATTTGCATCTATAATGAATATTTACAGTCTAATAATGTAAATTTGGCTGTTACTTAACTTTTAGAATCAACTTGTGGTGAAAGACAAATACTTATATTGGGGTGCCTGGGTGGCTCTGTCAGTTAAGCGTCTGACTTCGGCTCAGGTCATGATCTCAACAGTTCGTGAGTTCAAGCCCTGAGTAGGGCTCTGTGCCAACAGCATAGAGCCTGGAGCCCACTTCTGTGTTCTCTCCCTCTGTCTCTGCGCCCCATGCCCCCCCACCCACCCTTGCTCACGCTCTCTCTCAAAAATAAATAAACATTAAAAAAAATTTTTTTAAATATTTGTATATGTATTAAATTTTTACAGAATGTAAATATAAATGTTGTACATTTTGCCAGTTTTATAAGCAACATAACAAAATAGGTGAATGGGAGGTAGAAACAAAATAAGCTAATTTCCTTTTTAAAAAAATGTGAGTCCATATACAATCTAAAAATTGATAAATCGCTCAGTAGAAAAATGGATATATATCATTTGAAATTATGATAATTACAAACATAATTAAAAAACCATCAACATTTCCGAAAATAAGATCTCTATCGGGGCACCCGGCTGGCTCAGTCTGTGGAACATGTGACTCTTGGTCTCAAGGTTGTTAAGTTTGAGCCCCACACTAGCTGTAGAAAAATAAAATCTTAAAAGAACAAAAAGGTATCAGGGGCACCTGGGTGGCTCAGTCAGTTAAGCATCCAACTTCAGCTCAGGTCGTGATCTCACAGCTCATGAATTCAACAACCGAGTAGGGCTCTCTGCTGACAGCTCAGAGCCTGGAGCCTGCTTCAGATTCTGTATCTCCCTCTCTCTCTGCCCCATTCCCACTCACACTCTGTCTCTCTCTCTCTCAAAAAAAAAAAAAAAAAAAAAAAAAAAAAAAAAAAAAAA